TGACTATGAAAAAGTGTTGACGGTGAATACAAAGAAGTTTGAAAATAAAAAAAAATGTCATTGTCCCAGTTAAAGTCAAACTGAAACAAAGAAACAAGCTAGTCAGCATGTTCTTCTGTTCAATTAGACCATGGTGATTAGCACTGCAACATTATTTACCCATCTTTGCTCTTCTGTTTTACTTTCATTCGTGGGATGTGGCATCAGTGGCAAGGCCAGCATTTATTGTCTGGTCTGAAAGGCGCTTGAAAGCTGGTGGTAAGCTGACTTCTTCAGTACAAGAAAATGGCCTGCTTGATCATCCAGACTCAACCAGGTTGCTGTAGGACTTGATCTTATATTGACCTGACAAAGAAAGCTAACTTCCTTCACTGAAAAACGTTAAAGAATCACATTCATCATAGGTCCCATTCATACTTGCTTTTTAATTCTGGATTTATTTAATTTATTAATTGCTTTTAAATTTCTGAGCTTGTGTGGAATTTGAACGTAGTTCTCTAGATCATTGGTTCAGTTTTTGCAATTACTTGAGGAATAATGTAACCATAACGCTACTGTACTATCTTTGAGTCATAGAGTCATAGAGATGCACAGCACAAAAACAAACCCTTCAGTCCAACTTGTCCATGCTGACCAGATATCCTAAATAAATCTAGTTTCATATACCAGCATTTGGCCCATGTCCTTTTGAATCCTTCTGATTTGTATACCAATCCAGATGCCTTTTATATATTGTAATTGTACCAGACTCCACCACCACACACCAACTCCCCTACCCTTGAGAAAAGACCTTGACTATTCACTCTAACCATACCCCTCATGATTTTAAAAACTTGTATAAGGTCACCCCTAAGCCTCCAACAATCCAGGGAAAATAGCCCCGCCTATTCAGCCTCTCCCTACAGCTCAAACTCTCCAACCCTGGCAATATCCTTGTAAATCTTTTCTGAACTCTTTCAGGTTTAACAATGCCTTTCCTATAGTAAGGAGACCAGAACTGAACACAATATTCCAAAAGTGGCCTAACCATAGCCACAAGCCACAATAGCCACAACATGATCTCGCAACTGCTGTACTCAATGCACTGGCCAATGAAGGCATGCATACCAAACTCCTTCTTCACTACCCTGTCTCCCTATGACTCCACTTTCAGGGAACAATGAACCTGCACTCTGAGGTCTCTGTTCGGGAGCACACCTCAGCACCTGACTGTTGAATATATAAATCCTGCCCTACCAAAATGTAGCACCTCACATTTATCTAGATTAAACTCCATCTGCCAGTCCTCGGCCCAACGGCCCATCTGATCAAGGTCCTGTTGCACTCTGAAGTAACCTTCTTCTCTGTTCAGTACATCAACAATTTTGCTGTCATCTGCAAACTTACTAACCATATCTCCTACATTCACGTCCACGCATATAATATATATATATTTATATAACTCTTGATGTCCTTCATCTGAAAACAATCCATCGGTTTCACTCATAAACATTGCATTTATCCAACGTTCAAAATATTTTGATGTGACCATATTGAGGAGGTCCTGGTGTTTAGAGAAGGAGAAGGGTTAGGAGGAATAGAATTGGGAAGTTAGACTAAGTATTTTTTTCAAATTTCTTTAACTGTGATAAGAATAATGAATTAAATGCAGGAAAGCAAAAATTGTCCTTTTTTTATTTTCAATTCTCTCAAAAAAATACATGTTGTGAGAAGTTTGTGATACACTTGGATACATTAAGTGGGTAGTGCAAAAATATTTACATCAGCAAGTTTGCTGAGATTGAATAAACAACAGCAGGAGGGAGCATCAAATTGAATTCTCTATTGGGATATTCAAACATACAATCACCTACTTTGCTGGAAAAGCAAATCAGCTCACAATTGTAGAAAGAAGGGAATTCCATTGTGGCTAACATTTCCATGAAGATATTTCTGACTTCATGCTGTGGGATTTTAGAAAAAAAAATTCAATGAAATTGCAAAAGCATTCTCACATTTGAGTTAAAATGCTATGGGTTCAAATCTCACAACAAAGATGTGAGCATAAAGAATTTGATTCCAATGCAGTACTGAAGAGGGTCTACACTCCCAGAGATGCTGGCCAGGATTCCACTGGACCTGGCAGAAAGCTAAGTGGAACCAGAATTAGGAGGCAATGATCCTTCAGTTTTGACTTCTATTCCTGGAGGGATATCACACCAGGCATCCAGTTAATGGCTGGCACCTGGGGTGGCCAACAAGCTATCAGCCTAAGGCAGTGAGTGAGGTAGATAGAGAAGCAAGTGCTAACTTGGATGTTTTAGAGGGCTACCAGCAACTGAGATCTGATTCAAAAGCCCTGCTTTTGTAGCATTTATCCTTTGAGCAGCTGGTGAACAATAATACCTTCATCAACATCGGAAGAAACCCTGATTCTTTTTATATATGACTTGGATGAGGAAGTGGGAGGGTGGGTTAGTAAGTTTGCCGATGACACAAAGGTTGATGGAGTTGTGGACAGCGTGGAGGGCTGTTGTAGGTTGCAACGGGACATTGACAAGATGCAGAGCTGGGCAAAGAAGTGACAGATGAAATTCAACCCAGAAAAGTGTGAAGTGATTCATTTTGGAAGGTCGAAGTTGAATGCAGAATACAGGGTTAATGGCAAGATTCTCGGCAGTATGGAGGAACAGAGGGATCTTGAGGTCCCCATCCACAGATCCCTCAAAGTTGCAACCCAAGTTGATAAGGTTGTAAAGAAGGCGTATGGTGTGTTGGCTTTCATTGGTAGGGGAATTGATTTGAAGAGCCATGAGGTTATGCTGCAGCTCTACAAAACTCTGGTTAGACCACACTTGGAAAATTGTGTTCAATTCTGGTCACCTCATTATAGGAAAGATGTGGAAGCCTTAGAGAGGGTGCAGAGGAGATTTACCAGGATGCTGCCTGGACTGGAGGGCAGGACTTATGAGGAAAGGTTGAGGGAGCTGGGGCTTTTTTCATTGGAGCAAAGAAGGATGAGAAGTCACTTGATAAAGGTTTACAAGATGATGAGAGGCATAGATAGGTTCGATAGTCAGAGACTTTTTCCCAGGGTGGAAATGACTATTATGAGGGGACATAGTTTTAAGGTGATTGGAGGAAGGTATAGGGGATATGTCAGAGGTAGGTTCTTTGCACAGAGTGTGGTGGGCATGTGGAATGCACTGCTGGCAGTGGTGGTACAGTCAGATACTTTAGAGATCTTTAAACGACTCTTGGATAGGCACACATGGAGGAGAGTAAAATGTAGGGTTTACAGGGTAGATTGATCTTAGTAGGATAATAGGCTGGCACAACATCGTGGGCCAAAGGGCCTGTACTGTGCTGTACTGTTCTATGTTCTATGTTCTATGACTCGAGGTACGGCACAAGGAAGGTGGCTCCATAGCTTAGAATTTAAGAAACAGGAGTGACCAATACGACCTCTCAAGCCTGGTTGATCATCAACCTCCTATCCACTTCTCCAACAACTCCCCATATTCCTTGATTCCCTGAGAGATCAAATATCCGTGCATCTCAGGCTTAAATATGTTCAATGAAAGAGTATTGTTAGCCCTCTGAGATGAAGAATTCCAACGAGTCACAATGGTGTATGTAAAGAAATGTCTCCTTATCTCAGTTTTAAATGATCAGCTGCTTATTCTAAGACTGGGCCCAAGTCAAGCAAAATCAGTCTGGTTTTTGCTGGTCATCTATTCAGGGTTGTGTCACAAATTTAGTCTGGGAGATGGCATTCACATGGAGTTGTTCTGCAAACACAGTGATCGCGCTCACTCATTCAAGGCGAGGTTGCTCATTCATAATCTGGGGGTCAGCCCAGGCATTGACAGATATGACACCGTCTGAGATGCTAACTGCTATATTTCAATTTCAAAATAGTATCTGTTTATCTCCACAGGTGCAGCCTATGCTACGAAGTATTTCTTGCATTTTTCCTTATTTCAGATTTCCAGCCTCCATTCTATTTGGCTTCTGCATTAGAGTTCACTTACAGTATTGGTTTCTTGAAAACAATAAGAGTCTGAATAATAGCCCAACTGAGTTTGGCTATTCAAACATAGGACTTACAGAATATGGCCATTAATTTTTTTATTAATTCATTCACGGGGTGTCAAAATCCTAGAACTCCCTTCCTCACTGCACTTGTGTACTCCTATCCCCATGCGCTATAGCGATGCAAGAAAATGGCTCATCATCACCCTCTCAATAGCAACTTGAAATGGGTAATAAATGCAGGCCCAGACAGCAATGATAACATTCCATGAATAAATAATTTTAAAGGAGGCGTGGCTTCTACAATGATTTATTCTGCTGCTCTCTGCAAGGATTCCTTGTGTTTACTGAGTTCTACAAGATCTCCATTTCGAAGACAGATCTGCAATTCTGAGGTATGTGGCTCCTTGTCTGATCTTGTCAAAATTCAGATTCTTAGCCAGCTTGGAAGACTTGGGCTAATTGTTTTAAAAAAATAAGGTACCTTTGCTTGTGAGAATGTTGTCACCTCCAATTATATCTCCAAATCACGTAATATCCTGTCAAGAGCATACATTGCCATTCAATCATCTTGACTGGGTCAATATTCTGGACTTCCATTACTACTCACACTGCAGGCACTCTATCATCAGAATGACTTCAGCATTTCAGAGCAACTAACAATGGGCAATAATACAGCCTTGCCTGGTCTAACCATCTCCCTGTCCAAAAGAAAACAAAGTGTTTATGAAGCCAGTCATTATAGAATATCAGTAATAATGGAGAAAATATAATTTGAAAGGTAAAATGTTAGTTGAACACAAGCAATCACATGCTCTTCATGACAATGGAATCTGGCCATGTGCAAAATAAGTAACTTCTCTCACAATGTGAGACAAATAAAGATGCATCTTTCTGACATTACTCTCCCACTTCTGGTACTGTCATTATCTCCATTATCTTCTAAAATATGATTAATAAATCAAGTTCCGTGTACTGGTACTTACGATTGGTCATCTCAAATCTTGTTTTGATGTTATGACTCCACCAACCGACTAATCTGAAAGTTAAGCAAACATTGTTTAGGAATATATTAAGAATGGTGGTGAATATTTAATCAACTTCATCAGGTATTTCTGAGTAATAACACATTTCTAATTGTATAATTTTATTATGTGCACGTTGGCCATTGTTTTCCATATAGGTACAGGAGGAGGCAGTCTGTTGAGCCTGCCCAACCATTCAATGCGATCATGGCTTATCAAATACTTTGATGCTGTTTGTCCACCCCATCCCTATAACCCATTGTATGCCATTGGTGATCAGAAATCTATCAATCTCTACTTTAAACATTTGTTGCAAAAACAGCTACATTTCAAAAGTGCTGCATTTTTTTGTTATGACCAAGCGAGGAGGGATGGGATCATTTTTATCTCTCCCCACTCACCATTGAGATGGAGCAGAGGTTTTGCATTTTAAAAGTGTTGGATTGCCAATTCAGCATGTATTTTCAACTGTGTTCATTTGTATAAATTAAGTCAGCCAGATATTCTTTAGTTAAATGTGCAAGGGACTTTTTTTTATTCCTAAAACCCATCCAGGTTAAAATATTAAAAATGTACAAAATCTTTCTACTTCCCACCAATGTGAATCAACACACATACATTGCTGGGTAACATTATCAGTGCAGCCTCCGATGAAGCACTGTTGTGTTTTCCCGCCTGTTATTTAAACTCTGGTGTCCGTTGAGCTGGATTACCTCACTTCCGGTTTTCCTTCACAGTGGAGTGTATGTGGGGTCGAGCTCTATGTGTTTGTTGATGGCTTTCTTAGTGGAGTACCAGGCTTCTAGGAATTCCCGTGCTTGTCTCTGCTTTGCTTGTCCCAGGATCTTGGTGTTGTCCCAGCCAAACTGGTGGTTCTCCAATTCTCCTGGTACTCCACAAAGAAAGCCACCAACAAACACATAGAGCTCGACCCCATATACACTCCATTGCAAAGGGAAACTGGAAGTGAGGTAATCCAGCTCAACGGACACCAGAGTTTAAATAACAGGCTGGAAAACACAACGGCGCTTCATCGGAGGCTGCACTGATGATGTTACCTAGCAGGGTAATGAAACGTCTGCGGAACAACAAACCAGCTCGGCAAACCAACCAACCACAACATCCCCAACCTGAACTATAAATCTACTCTAAAACCTTAGACACATACGCTCCCCGCACATGCAGAAAAGAAGTACAACTTTACAGTCTGTTGGTGGTAAAGCAGGTGCCTATGCTGTCCTGAATGTTCAAATCAAGCAGTCATACATTAAACAGCAGTTTAATTCATCCTAAATGTTCAAAGCATTTTCCAATAAGCCAGCACTACTGCTAGGTTGAGTTTAATGAGTGCATGTGTAATATCAGAGCATTATTTTTAAACTCACATCCAGCCATTCATGAAACAAACCGTCTTCAACTATTATAGAGAATCCAGGCAACATGCATAACTGTTCATTCTTGATAAGGTTGATAAAGAAAAAGTGAAAATTATATTTTAAACTGTGCCCTGCCATTTTGTGAAGCATCCAAACAATTGGCACCACAAACGATGGGTGAAGATAGAGTCAAAGAGAGAGAAAAACAGTTAGACAGATAATGGACAAGCTAGATGTCAGCCTGGGAGAGTGAATAGCTGATAATGGGGACTATTAGCAGCTGTCAATGGTTTGTGTATGGTAGCAGCCCATGCAATGACAAGGCCTGCTGTGTTATTGTGGGGGAAAGGCATGGGAGAAGGTGCCCAAGCCCTAAAATTGTTGAACTTGATGTTGAGTCCAGAAAAATGCAGGGATCCCAAGCGGAAAATAAAGTGCTGTTCATTCAGCTTGCGCTGAGCTTTACTGGAGCACGGCAGCAAGCCCGATGCAGAGGTGTTGGCCAGGGAACACGGTGGTGTGTTGAAATGGCATTCAACTGAAAACAAACCTAGGTCTTCTGCAAAGTGGTCACCCAGTCCATGCTTCGTTTCCCCAGTGTAGAGGAGACTACATTGTTAGCGGCAAATACATTAGACTAGATTGAGTGATGTGTAGGCAAATTGTTGCTTCACCTGGAAGGTGTGATTCTAACACTTCTAAAGCCCAGCAGGTATAAGTCGAGCATGTCTGGACATTCCTCATCATACAAGCCACTCATTCCAGAGATTAGTCATAGAAACATAGAAGATAGAAGCAGGAGGAGACCATTCGGCTCTTCGAGCCTGCTTCGCCATTTATTATGATCATGGATGATTGTCCAACTCAATAACCTAACCCTGCTTTCTCCCCATAACATTTGATCCCGTTCACCCCAAGTGCTATTTCTGGCCACCTCTTGAATACATTCAATGATTTGGCATCAACTACCTCCTGTGGTAATGAATTCCACAGGTTCACCACTCTTGGGGGCGAAGAAATATCGGTTCATCTCTGTCCTAAATGGTCTACCAAAAACCTTCAGACTGTGACCTGTATTAGTCTAGAAAACTTTTTCTGCTTCTATAATGTGTTTACATTGTTCCTTAAGGAAACTTCTGCATTGTACTCCAGAGGGGTCTCAACAATACCCTGCATAACTCAAGTATAACCTTGTTACTTACCCTCACAACAAAGGTTAATATTCATTGGTTTTGTTAATTACTTGCTGTATGTGTATTCAAACCTTTTGGCAATGGGCTTAATGGAGAGTGCAGAAGGGTATGGCAGGAATGACACCAAGCATGCCTAAAAATGAGGTGTCAAACTGGTGAATCTACAAAACAGGACTTCTTGCATATCAAACAGCATAAACAGCAAGTGATAGACAGAGCTAATCCTCAACTATTGGATCAGATCTAAGCTCTGCAGTTCTGCCACATCGCATTGTGAATGTTAATGGATAATTAAACAACTCAGTGGAGGATGAGATTTCACAAGTATCTACATTCTCAATGATGAAAGGCCCAGCACATCAGTGCAAAAAATGATGTTGAAGAATTTGCAAGTGTTCAGCCAGAAGTACCAATTGGATGATCCATCTCAGCCCTCTCCAGAGAAACACCAGCATCACAGACACCAGTCTTCAGCAATCCAATTCACTCTACTTGACATCAAGTAACAGTTGGAGACATTGAGTACTGCAAAGGCTGAGGGCCCCGACAATATCCTGGCAATAGTAATGAAGTCTTTTACTCCAAAATATGCCACACCCCTAGGCAAGCTGTTCCAGTACAGCACAACACCTAAACATTGCTCAGGTTTGACCTGTACACAAAATCCAGGACAAATCCAACCTAGGCAATTACCAACCCATCAGTCCACTCGATCATTCGTAAAGTGATGGAAGGTGTTATCAAGAGTGTCATAAAGCAACACTTGCTTTATAATAACTTGCTCACTGATGCCCAGTTTGGGTTCTGCCAGGGCTGCTCACCTCTTGACCTCATTACAGCCTAAATAAGGGTTAGTTAGCTCACTTGGCTGGTTTGCAACGCAGAGTGACACCAACAACGTGCATTCAGTTCCTACACTGTTTGAGGTTATCCTGACAGAACTTACTTCTCAATCTCTCCTTTCATCTGAGACTTGGTGACCCTCAGGTTAAGCCACCACCAGTTGTTTGTCTCTAATGAGGGAGCAGTCCTGTGGTCTAGTAAGACACTGTCAAATTTACTTTTATAAGCTTGGTCCAAATTTGAACAAAAGAGCTGAAAACCAGAATTGAGGTGAATAACCTTGACATTAAGGTTACATTTGACTGAGTGTGATATTGAGATGTTGTAGAAAAAATTGAAATCAATGGGAATCAGAAGATAACTCTTCACTGGTTACAGTCATACCTGGCACATAGGAAGATGGTTGTGATTGTTGGATGTCAGTCATCTCAGCTGCAGGACATCTCTGCGGGAGTTCCTCAGGGCAGTGTCCTAGGCCCAACCATCTTCAGCTGCTTTATCAATGACTTTGCCTACATCATAAGATCAGCTGTATGGATATTTGTTGATGATTGCACAATGTCCAGTACCATTTCTGACTCCTCAGATCCTGAAGCAGTCCATGCCCAAATGCAGCAAGACCTGAATAACAACCAGGGTCGGGCTGAAAAGTGGATAAATAACATCCACACCACACAAATGTTAGTCAACGACCATCTCCAATGAGACCGAATCTAACCATCACCCTGTTACAGTCAATGGCCTTCCCTAACTAAATCTTCCACTATTAACATTCTGAGGGATACCATCAACTAGAAAACAGTACTAGACCAACCATAAAAATACGATGGCTTCAAGAGCAAGTCAGAGGCTAGGACTGCTGCGGAGAACAAGCTACCTCCTGACTCCCCAAAGCCTATCCACCATCTACATGGCACAAGTCAGGAATGTGATGGAATACTTGCTTGGATTACTGCAGCTCCAACAAAACTCAAGAAGATTGACACCATCCAGAAAAAAAAACAGCTTGCTTGAGCTACACATCCACAAACATCCACACCCTCCACCATCGATGCTTAGGAGCAGCAAACTGTATCATCTACAAAAAGCATTGCAGAAATTCTCCAAGGCACCTTCCAAACCATGACTACTTCCATCTAGAAGGACAAGGGCAGCAAATACATGGGAACACAATGTCCTACAAGATCTGCTCTCCACCCAAGCCTCTCACCAACCAGTCTTGGAAATACATTACTGTTCCTTCAGTGTCATTAGGTCAAAATCCTGGAACTTTCTCTCTACAGCATTGTAAGTCTATTTACAGTACTTTGAGCAGTGGTTGAAGAAGGCAGCTTACCACCACCTTCTCAAGAACAGCTATGGATGTGCAATAAATACTGACCCAGCCAGTGAAGCCCACATCCCGTGAATGATGTCAAAAAGTGCACTTGATCTCACAGATCTCTCTGCATTTCTGAACTTCGCAATCACTTATTTTCAATAATATGCTTCTTTGTTATATTTTTAAAAAAATACTCATTCACAGGAATTCATTCATTTATTGCCCATCCCTCATTGTCCAGAGGGCACTTAAGAGTCATTGCTGTAGATCTAGATGACATG